CTGCCAGTTCATCCCCATTATCACCCGAGACTATTACATGTAGAAAGATTGGTGTTGGATTGAGATATTTTAACAAGAGTCCCAGAACTGTCATAGAGCACAAAAGTGAAGAAAATTCTAGACCTTAGCTTTGACCAAACATTAAAAACATTCTTGACAACATAGGTTTATTTACCAGATGGTCAGGTTTGAATCCAATGTTGCAGGTGTCTGACACACATATGCATATGACTTCAAATCAAAGACTTTAACAATACTGCAAGAACTAAGAACATTGGAATTACGTGATTGCAGAAAAATGTTACATAAGTAAATTGAATATCACAGATTGCTTACGCCTCGGGTTCTGATAATATAACTGATTTGTTGCTGGCAGCTTCAAAGAACACATGTGAAGAATATTGGACATGTATTGAGGAGAACACTTCAAATCTTTCATGAGGAGAGTTTCTTCTTATGTGTCTGATACAAAGTCACGACTAGGGATCATTTACTCACTAAAATGTAGAAATTGAGTAAAGAAAAATAGAATATACCGTCAAGGTTCCACCTCTGTGGTGCAGCTTCGAGGGGAATATTTATTGATTTTATACTAGTTATACAGAGTATAAAACTGTGGTATCATGTCACAAATATCTTTTATATGTAATACAAACTATGCGGATTCACACAATACACAAGTGAATTTATGTTGTAAGTGGTTTAAACTTTTGTTGGACACAATGTACAACATAATCCTACTTTTATTTAGATTAAAATACACAAAAGTTCATATGAAGAGCATCTTGATTGAACAGTGAAACCAAAACTATGATTTTACCTTGTATGCCTATATACTCATAATGTAAATAATATATACATATATATCTAATCACATTGGCAGGTGTGTCTCACTACTCTATATTTTAGTTGTGCTTATTTAGAAAATGAGTTGCCACCAAATAACCAAATATTGTGTTTGTCAACTTAATGGCTATAAAATACATTTGACTTAAGCATCAAAAGCCTTTACTCCTCCTTGTATGTAGAGTATGATTATAGATTGTAAATGTGAAACAAATACATTAAATATCAATTATCAAGTGTGGGACTTAAGCAAATGCCAACTTCATTATATAAAATACTTATGGGCCACCATTTATTTGAACTCAAAGAAGTGGACATTCGGTTTTGTAAACAACATTTCCCTACCCTACATTCACATTTCATACAAGGCAAGGGTGATGTAATAATCTATTAACAGTTCAAGAAATTACTAGTTATCTGTGCTAGTGCTAGAATGTTATAGCATGTATATTATTCCAACCAGCAATTATTATATTCATATGTCTTCCCCCATTTTTGAATCAACAGCTCATTAAAAATAATCCATACTATAAAATGAACAAAATGTCATTTTAACGGAACTTTGTTAACAAAATCACACCAAACAAAAAAGCAAAATATGTTACATTATCTACATAATGTGGAGTTAAATGTATAATATGATTTCCTCGTAAACAAAACACAATAGATAATTAAAGAGAATTAGAAATTCCAAAGTGTGTAAATATGTCTTACATCATCGGCAAGGACCAACATCTTGTGTTGGTAGTATACTCTGCTACAACAAGCAATGATTTGTCGTTAATGTTGTAGAATATTTTTCGAATCATCTCGTCTTGGGAATTATTAAGGAAACAGAACCTAGATTTTGTAACTGTTAACACAATAGAGATACATACCATAAGCTCATGCTAAGATAAACAGATGTGAACATATAAACATATAAATGAGTTACATGTATCAAAAGTTGCACAATAACCATGACCTGAGATAGCAAAAGCGATGCCATTCACCACTAGGAGTTTGGAAACAGAATCCTCCACATGATCATTGCCCTCAATCACTCCAGCAAAGGGTTTAATTCCCTCCTAAGTACAAATGAGAAATGTAGAGAGAGATAAAACAAGGCATCTTTGCAAGCGACCCAACATTAAAGGGGAAGAAACAACAACAAAAGAATACTAAGGCATTCTTGATATCATTTTAAGAGGGGGAAATAATGCCCAATATATTTGTTGTTGTTTAACAAATGCAAATTTGCATTCTGTTTTCTAATATCAGTACATTTTTGCATTTTTATTCATATTAAATTGTTACATTGCATGTCCAGTTTTTAAAAGATGTTCCTTATGTCATAGGTTTTTGAAAATTCACTTTAATCCTTGGCCCGTAACATGGAAAAAATTTTCAGTTTCTTGAAAAATTTTCAGTTTCATGAATTTTCAAGAAACCTATTGTAAAAGAATATTGAATGGGGGAAGCAAAGGAAACTTTAGTAAATTAAGTTATTCACTTAGATGGAAGAATTTTCCACTTTCTTGATTTTTCAAGCGATAAAATAATGTACATTCAAAGATAGAAGAAAACCTATTGTGAAGTATGATCCAGAACATTTGAAAGTCCTAACCAGTAATCCTATGTCATTGAACCTGAAAGACAACCTAAAAAGTCTGTGGCCAATCTCTCGAGACTTTAGTAAGTCACTAATGTTATTAGATCTCTTCATTTTTTTTTCTTTTTTTCTTGGGGAGTAAGGAGATGGTAAACTGATGGAAGGGAGGGGGAGAGAAAGGGAGAAGGGCGGGGGTAGGGGGGGGAGAGAGAGGAAATATATATATATATGGTAAATTTCATTAAAACCTCTCCCTCTTTGAAAAAAAAAGAAATACCCAAAAAAATGCCAAATAGAAAAATATCTGAAGCTAGCAATATGAAGAGAGTTCAACAAAAACATGTTCACATTAACTTCTCTCACATCAGCAGCCTTTTTGCGTTTCTGTTTATATCAGATAGTTTCATTTCATGTCTTCTCAAAAGATGTTTCTTATTTCATAAAAAATCTAAACGAAAGTTTATGAAAATTCCCTTCAACCCCTGGCCCGTAACATGAAGATATTTTTAGTTTCTTGAATATTTCAAAAACTGCTACCAATTGTAAAAGAACTTGGAGGAGGGGAACAAAAGAAAGAAAATTGCAAGAATTGCAAACAATTGTAAAAGAACTTGGAGCAGGCCCGCCACTTCCTCCTCGCCTCGCTCCCCGCTGTCAGCAGGCCCTCGATTGCGTTGAGGAGGTCAGCGCCCTCGCCCGTTGCTGCGATCAGTAAGCTAAATCCATCTCATCTCTTCATGTAGATCTAGATCTAGTTTAGTCAACGCCTCTTTGAGATCTTTTGACGTCAGCTCTTGGATCGCGCGATGCCTGGTTTTGGGAATTGCTGTATAGCGATCCTCGTATGAATGTGGGTATTGTCACGCTATCGTTAAAGTTGAATTCGATACTGTTGAGTGTCCCTTGAAGTTTGGTTAGAAAATTGGTTGTGCCTTCGATTTTGATGTAGAAGAATTTGATCTGTATGGAAGTGGACAAATGCTTGGATATTATGGTAG